ATGTCAATGAACCATACTTTTTTCTTTTCAACTATTGTTATGTCAGGTGTGTTATTATTATTATTATTATTATTATTATTATTATTATTATTATTATTATTTTATTTCTATACCGCCCTTCTCCCGAAGGACTCAGGGCGGTGTACAGCCAATTTAAAACACAGGATACAACAATGATTAAAAATTAAAATAATTAAATAGATTTGACCGATTTAAAACCCCAAAAATTAAAATACTCCAATTTAAAATTATTATGTTGATAGCCCTGCCTGGCGGAACAACAGGGTCTTCAGTGCGCAGCGAAACACCCGGAGGTCGGAGATCTTACGTATTTCCGGCGGCAGTTCATTCCACAGGGCTGGGGCTCCCACAGAGAAGGCCCTCCCCCTGGGTGTTGCCAGCTGACATAACTTGGCTGATGGCACTCTGAGGAGACCCTCTCTGTGGGAACGGACTGGTCGGTGGGAGGCTATTGGTGGCAGAAGACGGTCTCAAAGGAACCAAGCTTCAATCTCAATAGATACCAGTGGTGGGTTGCTACCAGTTCTCCCCGGTTCTTGCGAACCGGTAGTGGAAATTTTGAGCGGTTCAGAGAACCGATAAATACCACCTCTGCCTGGCCCCGCCTCCAATCTATTCTCTGCCTCCCGAGTCCCAGCTGATCAGTTAGAAGGAAAAAAATCAGGGCTCACTTGACAAAGAAAAGGAAAAAAAAAACAAGACACCTTAGCTTTAAATTGAAAAGCCAAGAAGCTTCCCAACTGATCAGCTAGAACCGATCCGCTCCTTGTAAACCGCTCAGTGGTGGTAGATTGGCAATTGAGGCCAAGCTGCCTGAAAGTGGTTCCGATGCTCTCGGTAGTGGCAGAGCGGCAAAAAACTGTTTAAACTCTTGCAGTGGCACTTCAAAGGGCCGCCCTACAGCTGATCAGCGGTAAAAGGCAGTGTGGTGGTAGACCAGTGCACTCCAAAAACAAATGGGTAGACGGGTATGCTCCAAAAACAAATGGGTAGACCGGTACGGCTCTGCAAGCAGTTAAAAGACTGGTAGACCAGTACCTCTGCTAAATCCTAAAGAATTGTTTGTCACATGACCATCAAACCACGCCCACAAAATAAGCCATGCCCACAGAACCGGTAGTAAAACATTTTAGAACCCACCCTAATAGACAGGGAATATAGCACATATGAAGCCAGTTCATCAAGCCAAAGCAGAAGATTCAAATCAAAGTTTGCATTACTTTTAAGAGTAAAAAATACAGTGGACAATGGGAACAGAAATCACAGTGTTCAATTAATATTTTGAAGCAGACCTATTTCCCAGGATTTTTCCCTGGATCATCAAGTCAACAAATTAGTGACTTATTGATGACTCATTCTTTTAATGTGTCATATGTATAACAGTACCTTGTGAACTAGAGCTTATCGATAACAGAATAAAATAATAGAATGGCAGAGTTGGAAGGGACCCTGGAGATCTACTAATCCAACCTTCTGCTCAAGCGAGAAACCCTACACAATTTCAGACAAACGGTTGTCCAATCTCTTCTTAAAAACCTTCAGTATTGGTAGAAATGGAAGAAGAAATAGTGAAGGGTCCAATGATAGCATGGGCACGAAATGTAGGCCGTAATATAAATTTAGAGGAATGGGAAAAATTATGGAACAAAAACTGTAAATTAACATTGTCGACCAGATATAAAGAAAATCAGTACAAAATGTTTTACAGGTGGCATTTAACACCGGCGAGATTGGCTAAAATGTACGCAAATATGAAACTGGACTGCTGGAAGTGTAAATATAATGATGGAACATTCTATCACATGTGGTGGCAATGTCCCAAAGCAAAGAAACATTGGGAACAGATAAAGGAGATGGTTACAGGAGATAACAGGAGAACAAATTGAATTTAAACCTGAATTATTTTTATTAGGAATAATTAATCAAAAGATAAAGAAGCAACTCCAACATATCATTTTACATATAGTAACAGCAGCACAAATTGTTTATGTCCAACGTTGGAAACTTGAAAATATACCAGCCAACGAGAGGATTATTCATAAGATATTAGAATGTGCCGAGATGTATACGCTCACATTAGAAATAAAAGGCAAGGAAGAAACAGAATTTTATGAGGTTTGGGATAAGTGGTATCAGTGGTTAGAACAGAAAACAAAAATGTATAGAAATAAATGTAGATAACTGTAAGAGACACATGACACAGTACTGTTAAAAAATGCTTATTGTTATGTAAATTGGAAAAATGGAAAAAAAAATTAAAAAAACCCTTCAGTATTGGAGCAGTAACAATTTCTGGAGGCAAGTTGTTTCACTGATTAATTATTCTGTCAGGAAATTTCTCCTTAGTTCTAGGTTGCTTCTCTCTTTGATTAGTTTGCATCCATTCTTGTCCTGCCTTCAGGTGCTTTGGAGAATAGCTTGACTCCCTCTTCTTTGTGGCAGCCCCTGAGATATTGGAATAACTATCCTGTCACCCCTAGTCCTTCTTTTCATTGAACTAGACATACCCAATTCCTGCAACCGTTCTTCATATGTTTTATGTACACTGAGAGCATATGCACCAAGACAAATTCCTTGTGTGTCCAATCACACTTGGCCAATAAAAAATTCTATTCTATTCTATTTAGCTATTAGCATCTCATTAGGTTTTAAAGGATGGTCTAACCTGTACTTGGGTGGGAGTGTCAGAACAAATCCAACAATTGCCTCCATGGCATTTAAGATAGATTCTGAAAATACAAAACAGGAAAATCGAGATTTATGACTTGAAACCATCATGCCAGAATTTCATCAAATTGTAAGATGCGTGTAACCAATGGCTACAGATGGGCTTTTTGAGTTTGCCTCTAGGCTGTGACATGCCAAATTTCTTATTTTAATAGTATTAATTTTAATGTTTGCTCATAGTTTTGAAGTTCATTTTTTTTGTACTGACTGGCTTTGGTAAAACTCTTCCTTCTTCAAGATTTAGAACATTTTTGTAGTTATATGTCCTCTCCCAGTTTCCCTCTGCATGTCTTTTCATGGAGGTCAAACATTTCTAACATCTGGCACAACTATCGCAAATTGAAAGAATAGCCAGATCTCACCAATTTGCTTGTTGCTGTACATTCACTGTATAGCAGAGGTAGTATTCAGCAGGTTCTGACCAGTTCTGGAGAACCGGTAGAGGAAATTTTGAGAACCAGTAAATACCACCTCTGACTGGTCCTGCCCCCATCTATTCTCTGCCTCCCAAGTCTCAGCTGATTGGGAGGAAATGGGGATTTTGCAGTATCTTTCCCTTGGAGTGAGGTGGGAATGGAGATTTTACAGTATCCTTCCCCTGCCACACCCACCAAGCCATGTCACGCCCACAGAACCAGTAGTAATTTTTTTTGAATCCCACCACTGCTGTAGAGTCAATTTTTAATCCAGCTTTTTAGAACAAGGCACCAAGAAAAATGAGAGAAAATCTGTATTTATGAGAACAACCCTTAAAAATTGTCTTCAGGGAAGAAACTTTATCAGCAACCTGTGTGAAAGAGATGTTCTAAGTGGATGCTCCACTAAGCAAGGGATTGGATGAATTTTACAATCCCACTATGTTTATAAATACTGTTTGCTATGTTTATAAGTACTGTTAACCAGACAGGAACATTTTATTTTTATTTATTTTATTCATTCATTTTCATTCATTTTCATTCATTTTCATTCATTTTCATTCATTTTCATTCATTTTCATTTATTCATTTATTCATTTTCATCAAGCATGTATTAGATAACAGATATAAGTATAAACATAATTATGAATACATGAAATGGATACGGATAAAAGGAAACATTAGGACAGGGATAGAAGGCTTATGCACGCCCCTTAAAAACCTCTTAGGAATGGGGTGAGGTCAACAGTAGACAGTCTAAGGTTAAAGTTTTGGGGGTTTGGGGAAGAAATCACAGAGTCAGGTAGTGGATTCCAGGCATTGACCACTCTGTTACTGAAGTCGTATTTTCTGCAATCAAATTTGGCGTGGTTTACCGTGAGTTTGTATCTATTGTGTGCTCTTGTATTGTTTTGGTTGAAGCTGAAGTATTCATTGGCTGGTAGGGCAGATAATTTTATGTGCTACACTTAGGTTGGACTGAAGAAGTTCTAAGTTGTCTAAGTCCAAAATTTGAAGTCTGGTGGCATAAGGTATTCTGTTGCGAGCAGAGGAGTGGAGGACTCTTCTCGTGAAATATCTCTGGACTCGTTCGATTGTATTAATGTCCGATATGCAGTGCGGGTTCCAGACAGATGAGCTGTATTTTGAGAATTGGTCTAGCAAAAATTTTGTAGGCCATAGTTTTCAGTTCAATATTACCGGAGAAGAAGCTTCGCAAGATTAGGTTAACAACTTTTAATGCTTTTTTGGCAAAAGCATCTACATATTCTGTCTCATCAGCAGTGAGTTTAAGTCATACTGTACTAAAATCCAGCATAGCCTCCCAAGTGACAAATAGGTTGGTTCACAAACAAAAAACGTTAATGTCACACACTCATACAGACTGGCAGAGCCTTCTTCTATCTCATTTCTTCCATCTATCATTTCTATCTATCTATCATTTCTTCATCTATCATTTCATCTATCATTTCCTCTGTATCATTTCTGAAACATCTCTCCATTTAGCTGGCATATGGCTCCTTTCCCTTTCAAGGGAAAAATGGATTGAACCCTTCCTTCTTCCGTATGGCCCTCAATGAAGACCACCAGGTCCAAGGCATCATTTCCCTGTTAAGATATTTTGGATGGACCTGGATTGGCCTCTTTGCTGAGGATGGTGACAAGGGAGAGCATTTTTTGGTCAACCTGGAGGCCTTGTTTTCTCAGAATGGAATCTGTTCAGCCTTCACTCAATCAGTGCCACATCAGGAGCACCAAAGGGTGGGTGATTGGAATAAAGTCAGTGCCTTGGTTAGAAGAATTCATCTTCATTTTACACAGAGCAGAACGAGCATAATGGTTGTTTATGGAGATGCGAAGACCCTGATGTGGCTGAACATTTTAACATCTACAGAACATAATAGATGTAATGAAAAGATATGTGATGGAAAAGTGTGGATTATGACAGCCCAGATAGATGTTACATTAATGGACCAACAGTTTGAGAACACATTGGATCTGTTCCAAGGATCCCTTTCCTTCATGCTTCATTCCATGGAAATTAATGGGTTCCAAGATTTTCTGAAGTTCTTCAAATTTGGTCAGAGTCCACAAGACTGGATTCTGAAAGAGTTCTGGGAGGCAGCTTTTAAATGCCAGTTTCCAAATCTCAACCATGTGTTTAAACATTCATGCACTGGGGTGGAAAGCTTGGCGTCGCTTCCTGCTTCAACTTTTGAAATGGCCATGAGCGGACAGAGCTATGGCATCTACAATGCAGTTCATGCTGTGGCCCATGCTTTGCATTCTGCAGTTTCATCTCAAGTTATATCCATGAGAACACTGGGCAGAAAAAGATTTCAGCCATGGCAGGTACTCATGGAACTCTGTCCTTATCATGGCACATATCTGCCTATATAATATGAGCCAAGGTGGTGCAGTGGTTAGAGTGCAATACTGCAGGCTAATTCTGCTGACTGCTGGCTGCCTGCAGTTTGGCAGTTCAAATCTCACCAGGCTCAAGGTTGACTCATCCTTCCATCCTTCTGAGATAGGTAGTATGAGGACCCAGATTGTTGAGGGAAATAGTCTGAGTCTGTAAAACTATTTAGAGAAGGCTGTAAAGCACTGTAAAGTGGTATATAAATCTAAGGGCTATTACTATAGTCATGGTATTAGTGAGATGGATAGCACAGTTATACAATAAATTAAAAAATATATAAAAAAGACAAGACAAAACCTTTTGTAAAGTAGCTCCAAGCCACAGCTCTTTTCAACAGGAGTTATCGGTCCAGGAGGATCCCATTTGTATGCCCTGGTCTCACATGGGAAAGTGCCACCACATTAAAAACTAAATATGGAGGGTTTCTGAAAACTACAATAGTCAACACCTAGCAGTGTTATGATTTCAAGACTTCAGTTCAATGGCTGGCTGAAGAATTATGGCAATTAATGTCCATACATCATACACATACCCAAGTTGAGAAAACTGCTCCAGATACACATTTAATCTTACCAAGTTTACTTCAAAACAAGCTTTCAACATTACCAAGGTTGGGAAAACTTGCTCTGGGCACACACTTAAAGAATGGATTTCAGCGGGTGCTCCAGGCTTTCTTGAGCACCTCAAAGGAAGAGGGTCCTGCCACCTCTTTCCCAGTTGACTTATTTTCCTTAGTACTGTTTCCCACACCATCAAAATCTTCCTTCCTGTGTCTTAAATCTAACATTCAGAGTACTATAGTTCAACGTTTTATTTATGGAGTGGAGAAGAGGAAAGATGGAGGGAAGGGATCTTTTTATCTGAAGCTTTCCTGGCTGATTGTTGTGGTCCACCAGCAGCCTGTGGAGCTGGCAGCAGAGTTTGACAGTGAGGAGGCTGGGGAGGAACATGGGCCAGTCCTGGAGTCTGGGGAAGGCCTGGACAAGGGCTCTCTGTCGGAGGCAGAGATGGGGCCAGGGCCATCTAGGAGTGATGCGCAGACTCCAGTGCCCACAGAGTCAGGCGGCGAAGAGGCAAAGGAACAGGAGGAGCCTGTTCCTAGTGCATACATGCGCAGAGCTGCCAGAAAGCAAGAGCAGCTAAAGCAAAGGGATGACTTGGGAGTAAGGCCAGGAGATGATTGGACTCTCCCATAAGGCTTAAAAGAGAAACAAAGGCACTTGGGCCTTTTGCAGGAAAGCAACATTGCTAACTCTGTTTCCAGTCGGCATCTCTGTTTGTTTTTGAACTCCGCAGGGCTTTGCCAAGTAAGGCCTTTGGCAATGTGTCAAAGAAGATAAAGGTTGGTGATTATCCTGAAGGACTTCTTCTGAAGGACTTTTTTTGCAACTAATTGAAACTCAGCTGGGAATGAAAGTAATTCTCGGCTGTTACAATAAAATAGTTTTTTGGGGGGGACTAATTGTGTATTGTAATGACTCGTAAGCCTAGGTCACAACACTGATATGTCAACAGAGTGAAAATGAAAACAGTAATATATTTCTTGGTATTTTCCCCTGGCCTTCCCTGGGCCTCATCCACCACTCATTCAATTGGTCTTCAGTTCATTGCAATTTTGTTTGTCATTTAATGACCCCATAATCCCTTACAGGGTGGAGTCAGGACAACTGAACAGAGTGTTTGCTGGCCAGATGCCCTTTCTGTCACCAATGTGGAATTTTGCAGCAGATATATTCTCATTGTGCCCACAGAGAGTCATATCAGCCCCTACCTAGGATCGAATTCACAGCCTCCTGATTGTGAGGCGAGCTCCACCTCCAGGCCACAGCACCACTCTCTTCAGTTCACTGCAATTCAGGGGATTAGACCTAAAAAGGATGACATTTTCAGAATATATTGGGTTAAACTGGCCCTGGGAAAGTAGATTAGAGACTAATCATGGGTGAGGTCAAAATTCATGTGTATGAAGACACTTAATTACGGGAGTATTGTCTGAATCATGAAGATGGGAATAGATTTTTAAGTTTGTTTTCAGAAATCTTTCTCCAGAAACAATCGAGTAAAAACGGATTCCTGACATAAGAAAAATATATGTATAAAAAGCTATGTGGTTTTTTTAAGTCTCTACTGTCAGCAATGAAATACAGACATTACCAGGTTTGAGATAGAAATAGATAAGATATATGGAATACCATTTCAAATATTACTTGGAGCAAACTTCTGCTTTAATATTTTTGAATAATTTACATGGCTACTCAAAGATTTTGTACAAATGTATCTGCCTGGTTTTTGCTTGTTTGTTTGTTTTGTTTGTTTACCTACCAACCTATCTATTTCCTTTTCCATCAGCTCCACTTTTTTCTTCAAGGGATTTCCTTTAACAACTCAGCAGAAGAAACAGTGTCCTTCAACGCAGAAGGAGAAATGGAAAGCCAATTTGACATCATCAACTTGCTCACCTTCCCCAATCATACTTTCCAGAGGCTGAAAGTTGGAAAGCTTGATTCCAAATCTGTGCAAGGAAAACAAATCTCTCTTAGTGAAGATGTGATAGTGTGGAATAGGGCTTTTAACCAGGTGCACAAGGTAGGATCCTAGTTTAATTTTTTAAAAAGAAAAATTATCAGAGACTGATGACTGTGGATTATAGAAGTGGAAAAGTGTAGTATTGGAAAAGTTTACAAGGATCATATATTCCAGGCCTCTGAAACAGAGGTGGGTTTCAGCAGATTCTGACCAGTTCTGGAGACCAGTAGAGGAAATTTTGAGTAGTTTGGAGAACCAGTAAATACCATCTCTGACTACCCCATCTATTCTCTGCCTCCCGAGTCCCAGCTGATCGGGAGGAAATGGGGATTTTGCAGTAACCTTCCCCTGGAGTGGGGAGGGATTGGAGATGTTACAGTATCCTTCCCCTGCCCCGCCCACCATGCCACGCCCACCAAGCCATGCCATGCCCACCAAGCCACATCCACAGAACCGGTAGCAAAAATTTTTGAATCCCACCACTGCTCAGTAATGTGCAGGAATGATGTTCAAGCCATCATAGAAGGTGGTTTCTCCAGCCTTATCTGCAGAAGCTGTAAAGGTGAAGGGTCCACAACTGTATAGTAGCCCGCCATTCAGATATTATCATCAGCAAATGATTTCTCATAAAAATCTTATTAAGAAGTTTCAGAGGCTCATACTGAGAATGATCAGTGGTGGGTTTCTGATATTCTTACTACCAGTTCGTTGCATGTTGCGCCTTCAGCACAGGTGCCTGGCCTTCCATGCATGCGCTTTGCATGCATCCACGTGGCCTCAAAAACGTGGCTAAATAGGATGGCATTATGTCAGGATGGGTGGGCGGGACCACCCACAATCACTGCTACCGATCCGTCTGAACCGGTACGAACCAGCTGAATACCACCTCTGGCTTTGATCAATTGTGGGAGGGATCCGATACTCCCATATTACACCACTCCTGTGCAGCTTGCATTGGTTGCCGGTTGCCCTCTGGGTGAGATTCAAGGTGCTGGTGTTAACCTATAAATAAGGTTTATTTATAACCTGGTGTTAACCTCATGGCTTAGGCCAAGGTTATTTGTCGGACTACCTGCAACCAGCATCAACTTCCCATCGCCCGGTACGCTCTCACAGAGAGGGCCTACTCAGGGTGCCGTCGGCTAGACAATGTCGGCTGGCGACCCCCAGGGAAAGAGCCTTCTCTGTGAGCGCCCCCCACCCTCTGGAATCAACTTCCCTTGGGGCCCCGGTTGGCCCCTGACCTTCGCACCTTCCGCCGTGAATTGAAAACCTGGCTATTTATGTCCCCCGGCCTGGACTGATGGGGTAATATATTTTAATTTAAAAAAAAAAACTTTTTATTCTTCTGTGTATATTTGTTGTTTTTAACAATCACTTGGTCGATTGTCGTTGTGAGCCACCCTGAGTCCTTGGAGATAGGGTGGCATACAAATTTTATAAATAAATAAATAAAAAATAAATTGTGCTCCTTACTATCACATAGAATAGAATAGAATAGAATAGAATAGAATAGAATAGAATAGAATAGAATAGATAGAATAGAAAATATGGAATGGAATGGAATAGAATAGAATAGAATAGAATAGAATAGAATAGGAATAGAATAGAATAGAATAGAATAGAATAGAATAGAATAGAATAGAATAGAATAGAATAGAATAGAATAGAATAGAAAATATGGAATGGAATGGAATGGAATAGAATAGAATAGAATAGAATAGAATAGAATAGATAGAATAGAAAATATGGAATGGAATGGAATAGAATAGAATAGAATAGGAATAGAATAGAATAGAATAGGAATAGAATAGAATAGAATAGAATAGAATAGAATAGAATAGAATAGAATAGAATAGAAAATATGGAATGGAATGGAATGGAATGGAATGGAATGGAATAGAATAGAATAGAATAGAATAGAATAGAATAGAATAGAATAGAATAGAATAGAATAGAATAGAATAGAAAATATGGAATGGAATGGAATAGAATAGAATAGAATAGAATAGGAATAGAATAGAATAGAATAGAATAGAATAGGAATAGAATAGAATAGAATAGAATAGAATAGAATAGAATAGAATAGAATAGAATAGAATACAATACAATACAATACAATACAATACAATACAATACAATACAATACAATAACAGCATTGGAAGGGCCCTTGGAGGTCTTCTAGTCCAACCCCTTGCTTAGGCAGGAAATATTATCATAGTATTATTCATTTTTAAAAAAAAAATCTTTATGGATTAATTCATATATTTATTCCCCATTTTCCTTCTCTGTTCAAGTGAAGGTAAACACAGAGCAATAGAAGAAAGAGTTCATGACCAAAACAATACACACAGTTTATGAACTCAAATCTGCAAGAAAAACAATCTGAAACAGGGGTTGATACTGAAAATTTCCCCAAATATGATCTTACATTGTTTCTAATGGAAATAATGGTGTGTCTTCTGAATGAAAAATAGTTCTGATGTTTGTCTCATCCATCTCTTTTCATGCTTCAGGGGCACTTCACACAATTTGTATAAACCAATATTTAATAGTGTAACAAATGGCTGAATTTCTACGGTAGTACCTTCAGATTCTTCTTTTTCCCAGAACATCTTTAGTGCTGAGTTTTCTGCTTTAACTGTGTTTTATTATACAGTTGATTATTGATGTTTTACACAAAGAAAAAAAGAAAAGAAAACCAACAAGCAGTAGCACACCGAAAAAGAAAGCATAATTTTATATCTTCATTCCCGTCCCATCCCACCCAAGAATGGTTATGGATTGCATATACTGCACTGTTGCCATTATTGCATTGTTGCATATTATTTGTTTGTTTAATTTTTATAGGCACGCATTTTAGTGAATGACTCTGGGCAGCTATAGAAATCAATCTAACAAGCAAATAAATATTACACAACAATGCAATTGGATTATATTGTTGCGCATCATGCACTTCCCTCATTTTTAACACTGGCAACTCTTCCTGAACTCTTATTAAAATGAAAAGGAAGTTTTGCAAGTCTCTGAAAAGTATGTCAAAGGCCCATCATTCCATCAAGATAAATGCCTGCATTTACTATTTTAAATAAAGAAATTACTTACTGTCCCCTACTCCTCTTTTCTGGTTAATTCAGGGTCCACTATAGAGGAAAACAACTTACTGTATCTCTTAGACATTGATGGCTAAATTTTAATTTTAAATTATCTTTATGTTAGAAATTATGTTTATGTATAGCACTACAGATCAAACAAAGAGTACACTCATCATGTGATTTACTGCTTAACTGCTCAACTGTAACAGGAAACAGGAAACTCTACTTGGAACAAAATAACATAGAGTATATACCATAGATTCAAACTTGTAAACACTGCCATCTATTGCCTGAATACTACTGTAGTTGTCACATATAAAATACATTCCAACAAATTGTATTCCAACACTTTATTTTCCGGATAGGGGGCCCCTCAATCAATGTGTAATGAACTTTGCCAACCAGGTTATCAGAAGAAGAAGAAGGAAGGGAAGAAATTTTGTTGTTATGACTGTGTTCCATGTTCAGAAGGAAAGTTTTCAGACCAGAAGGGTAAGTGAAGTTGTATAGACAGTATTCAGCAGACAGTGAGACCATTATTAATTGGAGAATAATGTATGTAATAAAAATGTATGTAATAAAAATGTAAAGTCTTGTTCAAGTCAAGATAAGTCTCATTCATAATGGGTGCTTTAGAATTCACATATGAAATATGTGCTATAATAGCTAGGATGACCATAATCATCTTCCATTATATTTCAGTAGAAGATTCGGTGGTTTCCAGTAGCCTTCAGGAAGAAACATCCACAAACAATTTCAATGTGTCAGAACTAAACTGGAACTTGGTCTTTTTTCCCCCAGATATGAATGAGTGTTTCAGTTGCTCAGAAGAACAGTATCCAAATGAAAACCACACTCAATGCATCCCCAAAGTCATAACTTTTCTCTCCTATGAAGAACCCTTTGGAATCAGCTTAGCTTCTGCTGCTCTCGTTTTCTCTTTCACCACGCTCTTTGTGCTTGACATATTCATTAAGCACAGAGACACTCCAATTGTCAAAGCCAACAACCGAGATCTCTCCTACATTCTCCTTGTCTCCCTTCTGCTTTGTTTCCTCTGCTCTTTGCTTTTTCTTGGTCCACCAAGGAGGATCACCTGTCTTCTGCGACAGCCCACTTTTGGTATGACTTTCTCAATGGCCATTTCTTGTGTCTTGGCCAAAACCATCACAGTGGTGGTGGCTTTCATGGCAACAAGACCAGGGTCCAACATGAGGAAGTGGGTGGGGAAAAGATTGGCCAACTCCATTGTAGTCTCCTGTTTCTTCATTCAAGCAGTTCTTTGTGTTGTGTGGATGACAATCTTTCCCCCATTCCCAGATATGGACAAACAATCATTCACCAAACAAATCATTGCAGAATGCAATGAAGAGCCCATTGTGATGTTTTTCCTTGTCTTGGGGTATATGGCACTTCTGTCCATCATCAGCTTCATGGTGGCCTTCCTAGCCAGGAACCTTCCAGAGAGTTTCAATGAAGCCAAGTTCATCACTTTCAGTATGCTGGTGTTTTGCAGCATTTGGTTAACTTTCCTTCCAGCCTATCTCAGCACCAAAGGGAAAGAGAAGCTAGCTGTGGAGATCTTCTCAATCTTGGCCTCCAGTGCTGGCTTACTTGGTTGCATCTTTGTCCCAAAATGTTATATTGTTCTATTTAAACCAGAGCTAAACACCAAAGAACAGCTGACAAAGCAGAAGCATTAAGGAACTGATTTGTTGATCTATGATCAGAGCTTTGCTCTCTTTTATCCTTGTGATATGTTTACGTTTAATATTACATGATTTGTTTGTATTAAAGGGTGAAGGATATTTATATTATTCAGATGAATTGAATAAAAATCTTTTTCTGATAGACCTTAAATAACAATATCTGTTGCTAGATTTGCTCGGTCAGCCAGGTAAAGCTCTGGATCACTAAACAGAAATTAATTTTGGATTGATTACTACTGAAATGGAGAAGAATTCAGCATTGTTATGATTATGAAAATGAGTATTTTTCTCATTGTATATAATGTATTTCCCATTGTCCTTTGATATGTTTTACTGCTTTATTTGATTGATTTCAATAATAAAGTTTTATTCTAAATGGCTTTGAATGAGTTAACACACACTATATTAGGTGCAGTTCAAAGTATTTGCTATTATTCCATATGCTTAATTCCTTCTGTAGGAAGGACTGTTGAGTTACAGGTAATCCTCAATTTATAACCATTCATTTAGCAGCTGTGTGAAGTTATAACAATCCTGAAAAAAAATGTGACTATATCCATTAAACCAATCTTTAGATTTCTGATCTCTTACTTTCTTTCTCATTAATCACGTGAAGTGTTAATTTCATTTTATAATACCTTGGTAAGGCCACACTTAAAATACTGCATTCAGTTTTGGTCACTATGATGTAAAAAAGATGTTGAGACTCTAGAAAGAGTGCAGAGAAGAGCAACCAAGATGATTAGGGGACTGGAGGCTAAAACATATGCAGAATAGTTGCAGGAACGGGGTATGTCTAGTTTAATGAATAGAAGGACTAGGGGAGACATTTATTATTTATTTTATTTTTATTTTATGTGATTTGTATGCCGCCCTATCTTCGTAGACTCAGGGTGGCTCACAACAATAAAAACAAACTCAATGAAACATAAAATACATACAAAATACATAAATGTATAAATATAAATTTAAAACATATATTAAAACCCATTAAAATAATCAAACCCCCTCAGTCCAGGTTGGGCAATGTAAACAACCATGTTTTTAATTTGCGGCGGAAGGTGCGAAGGTCAGGAGCCAACCAAAGCCGCAGGGGGAGTTGATTCCAAAGAATGGGCTCATCCACAGAGAAAGTTGTGCCCCTGGGGGTCACCAGATGGCATTGTCTAGCCGACGGCACCCGGAGAAGGCCCTCCTGGTGAGAACATACTGGGCGATGGGAAGCTGTTGCTGGCTGCAGATGGTCCGACAAATATCCTGGGCCTAAGCCATATAGGGCTTTATAGGTCATCACCAGCACCTTGAATCTCACTCAGAGGGCAACCGGTAACCAATGCAAGTCACGCAAGAGGGGTGTAACATGGGAGTATCGGGAGCCTCCCATCACAACCCGCGCGGCCACATTCTGCATGAGCTGAAGCGTCCGAGTGGTCCTCAAGGGCAGCCCCAGGTAGAAAGCATTACAGTAGTCAAGACGGGAGGTGACTAGCGCATGAGTAACTGTGCGTAGAGCATTTCGGTCCAAATAAGGATGCAACTGACGCACCAGACAAATCTGGGCATACACCCCCTGGTCACGGCTGTTATATGATCATCTAAACTCAACCATGAATCCAGAAGGACACCCAAGTTGTGTGCTCTGTCTACAGGGGGTAAAACTTCGTCCCCTATAGCCAGCGATGGAAACTCTCCATCAGATCGAGATGCCGGTACCCACAGCCACTCAGTCTTGGCAGGGTTGAGCCGAAGCCTGTTCCTCCCCATCCAGACCCGTACCCGTACCGAAGAGAGAGTCAAGCTATTCTCCAAAACACCTGAAGGCAGAACAAGAAGCAATTGATGGAAATAATCAAGGAGAGAACCAATCTAGAATGAAGGAGAAATTTCCTGAGAGTTAGAGCAATTAATCAGTGGAATAACTTGCCTCCAGAAGTTGTAGATGCTCCAACACTGGAGATTTTTAAGAAGAAATTGAGCAAGGGGTTGGACTATGAGACCTCCAAGGTCCCTTCCAACTCTGTTATTCAGTTAGGAGCAGGGGTGAAATGTTCCCGGTTCGGACCGGATCGCCCAGTCTGGTAGTGATGGTGGTGGGTGGTCGGAGAACCAGTAGCAAAAATCCCTACGCCCCCCCCCATGCCCAGCTGAGCCGCACGATTATCAGAGGCTGTTTTTTAACTTTTAAAAGCATTTTTTCTACAACCTCTTTGGCCAAAAAAGCGCTTTTAAAAGTAAAAAAAAAAGCCTCTGATGATCGTGTGGCTCAGCTGGAATTGTCAGAGGCTTTTAAAAGCATTTTTTTCTGCAACCTCTTCGGCCGAAAAGGTTGTAGAAAAAAAATGCTTTTAAAAGCCTCTGACGATCAGGCAACTCAGCTGGGATTGTCAGAGCCTTTTAAAAGCATTTTTTTTACAACCTCTTCAGCCGAAGAGGTTGTAGAAAAAATGCTTTTAAAAATAATAATAAAAAAAAGTTGGCCACACCCACCCAGTCACATTACCCCCCACCAAGTCAGTCACGCCCACAGAACCGGTAGTAACAAATTTTACATTTTACCACTGGTTAGGAGTTTTGTTCCTGTTTAGTAATCCCCTCACAATGCTGATGTTTCACAACGCTTGATTGCCTTATCTACCATTTTAACTGAAACACCAAGAAAAATAAATGGTAGCGATGAAGTAGGTTTGACTTTTATTTGGGCCTTTCCAAAGGTTTCATGAACATTTTTGTTTTGTTTTTCTAGAGATTATCCTGATAATTGAAAGCAGGGGCTCGCTTTAATAGTTCTTGGGACCTCAATTGATATGAAAGAAAGGAATTCATCTTAAAATTTTTCCAGTTCAGAGAACTTACTTCTGTAAACCCTCTATCTGTGGCCTCCTGGGGTCTTATGATAGCCTCAGTTATTTATTTCTCTTTTTTTGACAAGTTTTATTGGTTCCCCCCCCCCCAATACACGCCCACATATTTTTTGAAACAGAGTATCGACCATATCATATCATATCATATCATATACAATTTATCATATCCAAGTACATTTATATCATATTAAGTATATTACTTAACTACAGTTTCTGTCAAAGTGTTCTTTTCCATATTTGAACCCGATCTTAATTTTTCTATTCTTATTTCTATAAACAGTATCTTCTTACACCTTCAAGTTCTATTTTTTTCCATTCTTAATCATATACATTCTCCTTTAATTTTTTTAATAATTCATTCTTTATCTTAATATATTTAAACATGTCCGGGGATGCCTTTTTTTCCATTTCATCTTTTTTGTTTTACAGCAATCTTTCTTTTCTTTCTCTTCCTCTCCCTCCCTTCTTTTATCCTTTCTACCTTCTTCTTCCCTCCTCTTCTATTCCTTCTCTAATTCCCCTTCCTTTCTCCCCCTCCTCCTTTCCTCCCCCCATCTAACGTTCTCTCCTACTCTTATTCCCCTTTCCTTTCTTCCTCTCCTCTTCCCTTTCTTCTGTTCCTCTCTCTCCTTCTCCCTTCCTTCAATCTCCCTACTCCTTCTTCTGTCTCTCTCTATTGCTGTATTCATTTTTAATTCAGTCCTTTTTTTCCTATGGTGTCCAGGCATCCCCGTTTTTCTCTCCCTTTATTGCATATATTCCTCAAAATTCCCATCATATTTTAAAATTCTTAACATTGTATTTCAACTCATTTCATCTTTACCTTAAAATCTTTCAACTTTGGTGGCACAATATTGGAAGAAGCAAGATTTACCTACAATCCAAGAGTGGACAATGAAAGTTATAAATCTAGCGGAAATGGCAAAAATCTCGGCGTACCTGAAGGATCATTCAAATGAAAGATATTTAAGAGACTGGAGAAGGTGGATAGATTATATTCAAAATAAATATTGGAATAAGAAATTGCAGATAGGTTATGAATGATTATATAGATATTTAGTGTGTCTTTAAGTAATAAAGCTAGGCGGGTAATTAGGGAATTGAAGAAACAAGAGATGTGAAATGTCATAATTGTTTAGATTAGGATTGATTATGATTGTTGAAGTTTATACCCTGTAATTTGTTCTGGGAAGGGGAGGGGGGGAGGGGGGAGGTTGAGGTAGGGAAGGGGGGGGAAATATGTAAACTTTTTGTAAAACTTTTCAATAAAAAAAAATCTTTCAACTTAATTAACTTTCTACCTCTTATTTCCATTTCAATAGTTATTTTTCTCTTTTCTTAATATTTCAATTACTTCCAGCTATTTTTACATATAAAGTAAACCATTCTGTATCTGCTGGTCTACTTACAACATTTTCTTACATCATTTATTTAACATTTCAATTTCATTTCTTACGTTCAATTTCCTTTTGTTTTTTCAATCTTTAGCACACATTTCTTTACTTTCATTTCAATTTTATGTCTTAATTGCAATTAAGTATTCCCTTTTATAGTAATCTATATATTTATTTCAATTTATTTCTTACATACAACTTTTACTACTAATGCCATTCCCTTAAATCAACATATTACTGCTGTGATTCCTTTCTACTACATTTGTTTCTTTCCCCTTTTAACCATTTTATTTTAAACTTTCCTGAATTCCACTTCTTAATATTTTCTCCCCTTTCTCCCATTCACTTATTTCTTTCTTCCTCTTCTTTTTTTTTGTGTTTATTGTATCCTCCTTCCTGTATCTTTTCTCTAATTTTTAACTTTATTACCTTTTAGTTCTCCCTCTTACTCTTTTCCCATTTCCTTCTCTTTCCTTCTTTTTTGAGAGATATTCTCCCATATCTATTTTTATTTTATCACTGTTGATCTGTGTAATCATCTATATTTTTCCTTCAATTATTTTCTTTCCAACATTATATTCTTGCTTCTCATTTATCTTTTCTCTTTCTTTCCTTTTATATTCTATCCAATCGTCCACTTCTTTGTTTCTCTTAAACACTTCTAGCACCTTTTGCAATATCTCCCTCAACTCCTCAAACTCATGCTCCCAGTTTTCCATATTTTCAATTTAAGAAGAAATAGTTTTTATTTTAACTTATTATATAGTTCTAATTCAAGTCCATTTGATGTCTTTTTTTCTTTTTTTTTCTTCTTTTCAAATAATATCCAATTCAGATAGCCCTTTAAGCCTTCCCAGTTCGAGATTTTATTTTAAAAAAGAATTCAGAAGGACAACAGGATGAGGATTTGTAAGGTGACTTAAAACAAGTGAAGTAATTATGTTGAAATGGATGACTCTATCCTGCTAAAGAGGAAGCTGAAGATTAGGGAGGCCCTGCTGCCTTATTGGAGACAGGAAGTAAGAAGGCAGGGTGAATCTTGCCTAGTTTATTTTTGCCAGGTTATTCTCTAATATATCATATCATGAGCCAAAGTGAATAAAGACTAGTAAAAATTAAAGCCTCCAGAAGTAGGAATTAAAACATCCAAGAAAAGAATGTATATTTTTTTACTGAATATATTTGAAGAACTATAGAAAAGTGAAAAAGAATATCTCCAAAATATCTTCCCAATTCTACTTCTTCAAGTATTTTCAAAGCAATCAGTCAATTATTAGGTGACCCAACAAAAGAGAGAAAGATGTTGGTCAGCTATGCAAAGAAAACAAGGCCAGCTTGCCAATGTTTCAAAGGTAAATTATATACCTTACAAATAGCTGAGATCAGTCTGTTATTGAAGCAGGCCAGTACTAACAAAGGTTCTCAGCAGAAGGGAATAGGAATGGAGAAACAACACATATAATTACTTCTAGAGCCACATGAGAGCACAAAGGGGTGGCTTCATTAGGTTTATTTCCACAGATTCTTTTCCTCCTGTTTTATCTGCAAGAACTTCTCTTTGAATGACAGACCCAGACATTTTCTCCATCACAATAGAATGAAGATGTTGTTCCTTTTGATGTTCTCCATGCACAGAGTAGCTACACTAAGATGCCCTGCAAGTGAAGCTTTCCCTGTTCCACATGAGTGGTTCCAGCCTGGTGACATTGTCATCGGTGGGATGGTGTCTCACATTTTCTACACATTTTATGAAATTGAATTAAAGGACCATCATTCTCTACAACTTTATCCCTTTCCAATGTAATATTTTTTTCCTTCAGATGTGTCCCCAATTTTACTGAACTCCCCAAATATTTCTTATATGATTAAAGTTTTTTATGACCATAATGCAGATTTTGTATCTTCCTTTGTCTTTTGAGTATATCTGGTTGTGGGAGAAGAAATGTTTTCTTTAAGTCAATATCTTTTTTGTGAAAATGCTTTAAAGTCTTAAAGTCTTTTTCATTCATACATTAAATGTTTGCCAAAATAAGTTTTTTTAAAGAACATTCGATGAGCTGAATTTTTTTTTAAAGATCTGCATTATGACTCCTTACAAAATATGCAAGCAGTAAATGCATGATATTTGCTGAATTTGTTCATATTCTGTTTGTGCTAAACTGAAAGAAAATAAAAGTAGTAGTGTGTAAAAAAGCTGACTATTCAATTGGCTGTAGTGCTTATTTATTGTAAGGCATGGAAATACATGGAAACACTATAAATTACTCCAGTATTTTATTATGTGCAATTCTCATTGTCCTACTTCCGTCAGAGACAGAAATTTTTGTTATTCATTTAGAAATGATGCCAAACTATAACAATGTTTAAATGTATTAATAAATAAGATTTTTTAAAAACTTATTGGCAGTATAGTCACCAAGTTCTACCAGCATGCCCTCGCCTTGGCCTTTGCTGTGAAGGAGATCAATGAGGACTCCCAGATCTTACCTAATGTCACTCTTGGGTTCCACATCCATGACAGTTACTACAATCCAAGGATGACCTACCGCACCACTCTGGACCTGCTTTTCAAATCTAAGGGATTTTTTCCTAACTACAAATGTGATAGCCAGAAGAATCTCATGGCCATTATTGGGGGATTAGATGCTTCTACTTCTTCCTGTATGGCAGAAAGTATAAATCTCTTCAAAATTCCGCAGGTAATTTGGGAAGAGCAGTAGGAGATAAATTGGTCTTCTTTTCTAATGAACGTTAGAGATCATTCTCTAATATTTTTCCCTTCATTGTCATGAATAATGACTCTCTTTCTTTGTTCAGCTGACCTATGGCTCCTTTGCCCAAGAAGAGCTCCAGGCTACTAAGTTCTCTTCACTTTATTACTTGGTCCCAAAAGAGGAGCATCAGTACAGTGGACTTATACATCTTCTTCTCCATTTTGGATGGACCTGGATTGGAGTCTTTACATTCGATAAGAATAAGGGAGAACATTTCTTGCAGAAACTGAATCCGTTGTTTTTCCAAAATGGGATCTGTTTAGCCTTCACACAAAAGATTCCACAGCAAGCCCCATTTGAAATTATTTCACAATTTCTCGATCTAATGTGGATTATTTTTAATATACTGATAGATCAGAAAGCCAATGTTTTTCTTGTCTACGGCGAACCATTCACAGTTCTGTGGCTCAGAAATGTTGTGTTTTTATGTGATCCTGAAAACAAAGAGAGTGCGTCATTTAGGAAGGTATGGATCTTGATGTTCCCAATTGATTTCACATTGACAGGACTTCAAAGGAGCTGGGATCTCCAGTTGTTCCACGGAGCTCTTTCCTTTACTGTTCATTCAAGAGATGTTCAAGGCTTTAAGGAATTTCTTCAAGTCATCAAACCTTCAACCCACAGAGATGGATTTCTTCAAGATATTTGG